CCATTTTGCCTTGAGGACATTTAGCACTATTATACTTCCATACTTTGGAGGGACTTAAAGGTGGGACTGTATGTGTTCTGATTTTGTGTTTCCCCTAATGTCCACCTAACTAACTCACTATATCTTTAAACAACCGTAAACAGCACATACTGTATGAATGTAAGTGATTACCTTAAGCGAGGACAGTGAGGGGAGCCCTTCCAAGTCGACTAGGCCGCATCGAACCAGGGAGAGCACTTGGAGGTGGGACAGACTGATTCCAAGATCCCTGAGGAAACACTGGGAACAATGAGCAACCACTTCCCTCTACTCTCCCTGCAATCTGCTCTCATCCTCTCCCCTCATTCATAATCTGAAGATCTCTACTCCCCCCTTCACCCCAGAATCCCAGTGCAGGAAATGCTATCGGATCATTAAGGTCCCCTCAGCTCTGAGCTGTCTAGTGTTCCCGTCCCTTCTCCTCTCTTCCGTGACTCAGTCTTCACATCTGGCTTTGTCAGTTATAACATACAGTGGAGCAAATCACCTTTAACATCAGGGGTGTCAACATTTTTAGAGTCACGCATTTTTATTTTTAGAGTCGAACTTTATTTAGACCAAGTGAACTGTATGCAGCAACTTTAACATTAATCGTTTATGATGAAATCATCTGCTAAATATATTAATGGATCAGAATTAGAAGGACAAGGTTTACTGCCAGTCCTGACTCCACCTGTCTCTATTTCTCTCTCAAACACATAAAAACTGTATACACATTACACATGTCCAAGCTCACACATGCTTTCTCCATTTGTACAAGTGTCAATTGAACCTGTTCCCCAGATGGGTTGAATCTACAAAACCGTCCAGTGAGACACAGGGTCAATCTCTAACTATGCAACAACACCACTTTCAGGAAATAAGGATTTACTGTCCTCTAAAACAGAGGGCCACAACCCATCATGAGCATATCCTTATGGGAAAGTGTGGGCTTTGCACCTGTGCCAGATCACAGGCATCATTCTTCAAAGATTGATTCATAGAAAACAGTTCCTGGAGCACAGTAGATCCTCCCCACACACAGAACCCATGAGAGGAACAGCATGAATTTCCAGATATACGTCATTTCTGTGTCAGATTAGTAAATTACCTGTTTTTTCCCAGAAATATTATTGAACTAATGTTCTACAGGTTTGGCCTACTTTGTAAGTAGAACTCTAGAGCAAAAGTGAAAGGAGAAAACCTTACCGCACAGATAAGATCAAACTGTTGTTCATTTTCAGCTGCACGAGATTGGGCAAGTGAACACCTGCAGTATGATGACAGAATAATGTGGTGATGCAGCTACACCCAACTATCTTTAAAACTTGATCATTAGCACAAAACATATCCATAGAGAAAGCTGATTCTTTTTTTTCTTTCTTTCTTTCTTTTTTTTTACCTTACACTGTAAAGCTTTTTTGAGTTTACTCAACTCAAGGTTAAAAATTAAGTTAAGTGAACTACTTTGGTTAAAAGTTGAGTAAACTCACAAAAAAAAGCTACGCAGCAAGTTGCCTTGAAATTTTAAGTTAAGTCAACTTTTCCTTTTTCTTCTTCTTCTTTTTTTTTGTACAGTGTTTTAACTTCTTCCTTGGCTTGCTTGAGTGCATTGAGCAATCATAGCTTTTCAGAGTCAAGGGAATCCTTCAAGAACAAAATAAAAATAGAAAAGTAAGAAGTTACATAGAGCAACTGTTGCTACTACTGAACTATAACTCTGGGTTCTCTAAAATTTCATTTGGCTGAAAACAAAGTGGTGCAGCATGCAGTGTTGCTGCCTCACAGCTCCAAGGTTCCTGGTTTGATCCTGACCTCAGGTTTCTGTTGATGTAAATTTTTGCCTGTTCTCTCAGTGTCTCTGGGTTCTCTGCTTTCCTCTCATCTCCCAAAAACATGTCACATGCTGGATGTTCTAACTTGCCCTTAATTGCGATCGTGTGTGTATGGTACCCTGCATAGGACTGGTATCCTAACCCAGGGTGTGTTCTTGTCTTTTGTTCCTGGGAAAGGCTCTGTATGCACTGTGACCTTGATTAGGATAACATGGTTACTGAAGATGAATGAATGAATGAAAAATTGGCTGCCGATAGCAATGAATTCAAGCAAAACTTAGGTGTGGACAATAACGTTTATATGCATGCCAGTTTCTTTATCCATCACATCAGCCTGTAAATATATCTCCAGAAGAATGTACTGTATATTAATCTCACCAAAATTGCCCATGATAGTTTCCCGGGTGTCAACACGCATCTCCAAGCTTGTGACCTGCTGTAGATCATCAAACCCAGTCAGGTTTCTCTGTAGCGCCAACAATAAACACATCTTGGTATTCAGTCTTCACAAATTTGATTAAATGTAACTTGTGGCATTCCCAGAATTCTGCGTTTTAGGACTTACCAGCTTTGCAGGAGAGACGTAAATATCAAAAAGCAGATCCGAATCCTTAGCAGTCACAGGATTCGGGTTTATTTTCCCAGAACCCTCAAACTCTGTCACAAAAGAATAAGCAGTGCCTGGACGCCTAACTGGATTCATCTTCACTTACCAGCCTGAAAAAAAGTATCCATGATATTACACGTAGGTGTGTGTGTGACACATTTATTTCTTGTAGTAGAAGCATAACACGAGATTGAATAAAAACCAAAACATTATCATCAATCTCAACAATGATATGAATGCAGTGCACTGAGTAAAAATGTCTGCATACGCAGTAGTAGGCCTAAGTCCTGTTCTGTATTCCCCAGTCTAGTTTTCGCCTACTTATCAAGATTTTTAATGAGAACACAATTTAATGCCCATAAAATCCATCAATGCATCATTTCACCATAGTTGTGGAATGTTTCTTGCATCCAATTATATATCCATCACATCCCTATTCCTAGTATATTTTATATTGTTCCAATTAACCTGAACCATACAAAATAAACTAACTTTATTCTTATTTTGTTTGAGTAATGTGTATTATACATACAGACATCATGAATATGTGGAATTATTCATGACAGTATGTGTAAATAGCTTCATAATGAAAGTAGCCACCTCTTACCTTAAGTTAACTCTCCACCTATTAAACAATATATATATATATAACGATTCTATTTACACGTCACGTCTTCAAACAAAGCAAAACAAACAACATGACCCTACAAGTATCAATAAATAATAAATGTATGTTAGTCCAACATTTTAATTTTTTTCCCGTTTTGCAAGCTATCTAGTTGGGTAATGCGGCTGTATCCTGCGGGCGAAGTTTGCTTGACAACGCGCACATTACTTCCTGGATACGGTGGGACGGAGAGCTGAGGCTGATGGGAAATGTAGGCAATTGTATTGGCTATGGAGCAGTGTTAAAACTTTCAATTTTTTTTTTTTTTATAATTTTTTTTATTGTGATAAATTGCGTCTCAAAACCCTTCAGGGAGTAGCATGTAATAAATATCGTCTGTAGTTTTGTAACAGTGAACAGACATCATTACTTACAGTGCAGATATTTAACTGGATGTTATATTATATTTGATGTAAATATGCAATATAAATAATAAATTTTTGAACTCGTAGTTTTTCACGTTTTACATTCTTCTTTTTTCTTTACATGTTTTACATTAATCTAAATATCATAGTATATATTTTGTAACATGAAAGTGCTTTCACAGATCATGCTAATGCTATCATAATAATTTTGTCATATTAACCAATGCTATAAAGATTATTGTTGATGCGGCTGCTAATTATTATTATTATTATTATTATTATTATTATTATTATTATTATTATTATTATTATTATTATTGTTGTTGTTGTTGTTGTTGTTGTTGTTGTTGTTTACCATGCAGTGGTAGTAGTAGCAGTAGTTATACATATATAAACATATATATACAGTACCACATACCACAATATGCAAACCATTCATCACCAGTGAGAATTGTAATTTGCAAAGAAATACAGAGATGAGTCACAAAAGTTCTGGAACCAAGATTAACCTCTACCAAAGTGATGGAAAGTTCAATGTGTAGAAAATGAAAGGATCTGCTCATGATCCAAAACATACAAGCTCATCTGGGAAACATGGTGGAGGTAGTGTCATGGCTTGGGCTTGCATGACAGCTTCTGGAACAGGCTCACTAATCTTTATTGATTGATGATCACTAATCTTTATTTCATGATGATAGCAGCCGAATGAATTCAGAAATTTACAAAAACATTTTGTCTGCCAATTTACAGAGAAATGCATCGAAATTACTTGGGAGGAACTTCATCATGCATCAAGATAATGAGCAGCATTTCACTTCCTGAAGAGGACACTCAAGATAGAAACCCTTTGAATCAAATAACATGAGAAAGAGGCTGCGGTAAAAGTCTGGAAAAGCAACACGACAGATGAAACAATGTGGTGATGTCAATGAGTCACAGACCTGTTTCAGCTATTGCAAGCAAAGGATATGCAACTAGTTATTAAGTGTTATTTACTTTAATTTACTTCAAGACTTTTCTGTTCCTATACTTTTGCTCACCTAAAAATAGTGTCGTCTGATACAAAAGGTTCTATGTTTTATGGTTTTCTTTTTTTTTAACACATCAAGATGTCAATACCAGGATATAAAGGCTGAAATCCTAAACTCTCGTCTCATGTCCATCTTTTGATCTACAACCCAAATGTCTTTGGTGTACAGCACAAACAAATGAACTGGTCTTGCAGTTCCAATGGTTTCAGAGCAGACTGTATAATTTTTTTTTTTTTCTTAATGGCTTTCAATCAGTGATGACTTAAGGGTAAGCCCTCTTTCTTCAGAATGTGATGTGAACATTTTCCCTTCAATATGTAAATAGTCACCTTGAGGCGTTCAGGAATGTGTCACGTGCTGGCATGTTACATTTACACGGATGGCATTATCCAGAGCGACTTACTACATTTATTCTATTTATACATCTGAACAATTGAGGGTTAAGGGGCCTTGCTCAAGGGCCCAACAGAGACAGCTTGGCAGTGCTGGGGTTTGAACTCACGTCCTTCCAATCAGTAGTTCAAGGCTTAACCACTGAGCTTCACTGCCCTGTGTTAGTTTTATTATTGGCAAGAAAGCTGAGACAGTGTGGAAATGTAAAAAAAAAGAGTCCCAGGATATCTGAACAGTAGTTGTGATGATGGAAGCAGTGGTTATAGGAAGCATCAGCAACATACAGACGCAGACTTTATCCCCAGTGGGGTGTGTGTGTGTGTGTGTGTGTGTCGGGGCGGCCGCTGGGCGTGGGCTGCCTGCAGCTCTCTCTCTCTCTCTCTCTCTCTCTCTCTCTCTCTCTCTCTCTCTCTCTTTCTCTCTCTCTCTCTGCACTCGGGCGGAGCGCATTGTGTTCAGCGCGCGCTCACACACACACGCGTGCGCGCACGCGCGCACGAAAGCAACTCGTAGTCCTAGGTTATTTGGAGTAACGGAGTGGCGCTGATGTGTCTCTGAGCCGCGGTGTGCCCGGGTTTAATCTCCTCCACACTGGAGCAGCGGCGGCTGTCTGCGTTCATCACATCACCCCTCCTGTGTTTGAGATTTCAACCCAGGTCACCAGGCTGAATCTAAAGGAGCCCGATCTCCACCGCACATCTCCGAGCTCTGCCTGTCGTGAGTACGACTACATTCATTCACGATCACCGTTTGTACACAGTCTATCCACCAAGCCTACTTTATTATTGGAGAAGTGAGGGCTGCTGTGGGTTCATCTGCATGTAACGGGAAACTGGGGGAGCAGAGGCAGAGGCGCGTCGCTGAAGATGTTCAAACGAAATTTATTCTTCATTGATCTAGGGCGTAAATTGTTTCAGTGTGTCTACCACTTGTTTAATTAAAGCAACAGGCACTATTTCTCTCTCTCTCTCTCTCTCTCTCACACACACACACACACACACACACACACACACACACACACACACACACATACAGCCTAAACAAAACTACATTACTACTACACGTACTACAGTGCATTAATTTATTATTATGATTATTATTATTATTATTATTATTATTATTATTATTATTATTATTATTATTATTAAATCCGGCTCTGTTCCTCGACAACTTCCGAGTCGGTGTCTGATCAGGTTCCCTGCAGTTCCCACTCTTCATGAAGGCATTTAAATGGTATGATTTCATTTAAACTGGTCCCCCTCCCATACCAATTGGTGCTACCTAAAAGCCCTAAAAGCAGGTTTAAATGAAGTTTGGTGTCCATGTGACAGTCGGGAGTCGGCGGTAGGCAGGCAGGGTGACGCCCCACCACCGACACCATACCGAAAAAAAAAACAACAACAAAAAAACCCCCACCACCGGCTGCGTCCCAATCCGCCTACACCCGTGCTAAAGAGTACCCGGAACAGTACGCGCGTAGTAGATGAGGTAGTAGGCTTGGTTTACACATGTTATTCGGTATGGTAGTGAGGTGCTGTTTGGGACACAGCCTTGAGCAGTGCGGAAGTAGCACGGGCTACACTACTTGTTTCCTTCTTCTGTTGCATAGTATGCAGTAGGCTACTTTAGTGTATATCTGTGGAAATGAAATCATGCCTGGTTGGAGGTTATCATGTGCATATCAGCACAATCAGTTTGTTTTTACTATTAAGTTTCTCTTTGACCAATCTACTGGGTCAGGATTAAACCATCAGGATCAAAATCACCACCACAACAAAGTATATAGTTCTATTTCAGTGAAATTGGGCCCTACTACTGTATATGTTTATAAATGAAATAATGCCTGCTTGGAGGTTATCACGTGCACATCAGCCCAACTGAATTGTTTTACTAGCTATTTTATTGCTTTTCATGATATTCATGACTAAGGTGAAGCGAGGACAATTGTAACAGATGCTGCAATTTGCATTAATTGTCACACAAAAACTGCAGATGGAAAACATGCAGTTTTTCTATTCAGTTTCTCTTTGACCAATCTACTTGGTCAGGATAAAACAATATAGATAAGAAGGCGGGGACAAAGAAAAAAAAATTAAGTATATAGTTCATAGTTCCGCCCATACAAATGACAAAGTCCATTATGGGAATTCTGCATTGCCCTAGGCTGCTACTGCACTACATTGTGAATAGTAAGCTCACACATTAGTTCCCTGCTAAACGTCTGGACATGCCACATTGTACAAGATGGTAAAACCCAGAAATAGCACAGTATATAGCGAGTAGGGTGGAGTTTATGGAAAGTCTGTTTGGTATTGTCCTCATTATAAGGATCAGATGTAGGACTGATGTGTGTTCTAAGCAGACTAGATGTATCATGTATAATGACATCATGAAATCTAGGACATTTGGCTATGGATTCCTTTTAAAATCGATACCTAGAGTAACATTATATACTTTATTTTTGCGTAACACTAAGTGTGTAGGTAACATCAGTTTCTTTCTTGTTTGTTTTACATAAATGTAATGAATAAGTCATGAATAAATATAACATTGTTACTGAAAAAGCTGTATTTATTCGAACGAATGCTTGACGTAATATCGGCTTATTTGTGGTCAAAATAAAATAGTATCCTAATGTTACAAAATACAGGATGTCCATTTAGCATTTAGGTAGATCAATAATCATAATCTGTGTTTCGTTTCAAGATCAAGTAGACAGCACATGGAGCTGGTGAAAATGAAAGCAGGGTAAGAAAGTGAAAGATTTTTTGCCAAAGGGACGTATGCTTGTAGCTGAAATTTTCAGCGTTCAAAGAGAAAAAGAAATCAAGCAGGTGTGAAGTAAATATCTCAACATTCTGGTGCTAAAAGAAAGAAGAGAGAAGGCATGGAGAATATGGCAAGCACGTATCATGATGCACACATGCAGTATGTATATGTAACTCTGCATTTCATTTGGCTGAGGTTTTAGGATAGTGCAGCAAAATTATACAAAAAATATATAATATATTTCTTGTATTTAATGAGGAAAAGGAGGGACAGGGGCTCAGTGGCTTAGTGGTTAGCACATTTTCCTCGCATCTCCGGGGAAGGGGGTTCAACTCCTACCTCCGCCCTGCATGCACAGAGCTTGCATGTTCTCCCTGTGTTTTGTAGGCTGGTTGGCATTCCAAATTGTCTGTAGAAGGGAGAATGTGTGTGTGTGTGTGTGTGTGTGTGTGTGCACACTCTGTATAGTGGGTCCCCCACCTTGTGTAGCAAGTCCCCTGGCATAGGTTGCAGGCTCATATGACCCTGTGTGGGATAAGCTGTACAGAAAGAGGGATGGAAGAAGGGACAGTAATAAAAAAAGGTCCCATTAGTAACTAGTTACAGTGAATAATATTACAATTATAAAAAGCACTGGCACGTGATGATACTCTGCAATGTATATCAAAATGTTTGTCATCATATTGTGCAGCCCTAAGAAATGTATAACTAACCCAGAGCATGCCTACTGACACTGAATAACAGCTTCTAACCAGGTATTTACACAGCCTGTATCACACAGAACGCATATAAATAAAGTGGCTGTTTTTGTACAAGAGATTTATATGGGTTAGATTCCTTACTGCATTATTAATTAGTCTTTCTCTATAGCGTATTCTAATGATCAGACTTATTCCCTGTCAAGTGGCCTACTGCAGTATAAGACCGAGTCGGATAGTAATGCGCTGGTGTTATTTTGAGGAAACAGAAGCCCAGCCCTGCTTCTCTGATGCGTCCACCCATTTCGAGTCAGCCTTTTCCCTCGAGTGATCCCTTGCCATCTTCTCTCGAATGAAAATTAGTTAGAACTGAAGGAGGCTAGCGATGGATCTATTAACCCGTTTGATTTGTTATAACGTAATCTCAGAAAAGGAAAGAAAAGTCGACTCATCACAAAAGTATTCATGGTTTTTTATTCATTTTTGCTCACCAGATTGATCAGTATTGATCGCTAATCACAAGTAGAATAACTGAGATCATCTTGTCATATAAGGACATGAAACTAACTACCAAATATTATCACTTGCCCAGCCAGGGTTATAGATTGTCTAGCTCTTGTTTCACACGTACACATAGACTCATACACACATTAGACACACAATGCATGTGTAAAGTGCAGCTCTTTTTATATGGTTTATATGTGCATTTTCTTTTTTTCAGTCTGAATGTACTGTCATGTAAGATCACCCTCAGGGTCCCCGGGAGGTTATAGAGTTTCAGAATGAGCTGTTCATCTACCCAGATCACTATGACGGGTTATATGCAGCCCCTGGCTACGATACAGTGTTTGTAGCAGAGCTAGAGGATGAGGTGACGTTAAGTTGTTGTTACAGTCATGTACTGTACAGTAGTCCTTTAGCTTTCAAAGGGGAAAAACATTTTATATTATTTGCAGAAGCACTCACATTAAAAAAATGCCAGAGGCTCAAGCACTTGCTGTCTGTTGGATCTGTTATGATACAAGGTGTGGTTCCAATATATTTGCATAGAAATATTTTCTTAGTTTCGATCACGCTTACAGAGATAGTATCTCAGGGTTTGTGAAGTGAAGACATTTTGTGTAAAATCTGTTACCCGTTACAGTGGGGTCTCTGAAGCATAGCGAAGGGATTTGTGTGTGTGTTTGTGTGTGTGTGTGTGTGTGTGTGTGCATGTTGTTGTTTTCAGTTACAGTGGTGTAAATCACAACTTACAACTTTTTAAAGTTATTACGTTTATTATTGAGTTATTAGTTTGTTTGACTGGTTATTTGAATTGAATCTAGACCTCAATAAGTCAAAACAAGCAGGACTATAAATAATGTAAGCTTGTACCTAATGTGTTCTGTCTGTTCAGACTCTATGGCCCCAAATAAAAATAAAAAAAAAGCCATACAAACAAAATGTAAAATATCCAGACAAAATATTATTGCACACTTTAAATAAATCTGTACTCAGGGGAATTTATATTACAGTTAAAGTCATCGCTGGCTTGGGGAACCCAAACTGTATTACTTAGTGTCATAAGCACTAATATGAAATAAATGTCTGGATTTCGGTTGAATATTCTGTGTTGTGATTTCCACAGTACAAAGCAGCCAATCCAAGACTGAGAACCGAGGCGCTTTGAGGGCTCATTATCTTTCTGAA